CATACATACATACATACATACATACATACATACATACATACATACATACATACATACATACATACATGTGCATATCTATACCTACAAGAATCGAAACTTTCTAACGTGGGACTCCAAGGCCTCAAAAGGTTGGTTCACTAGACAGGTAATATTCGAGCTGCTGTACCTTTAGCTGTCAGCTTTGGCCCTGGTATTGTCATTTGTTCTTGGGTCCCTTAGTACTTTTATGAATTCGCACGTCGAGTGGGAGACTTGTATCTCTTCTTGCCTCATCTTGTCTATTCCCGATCTTGCTGACGTGGGTTGGGTATAGGAGACGGTCATGTGCACCCTTTCTTCTTCGAACCAATAGGCGTCGGTCGTCTGAGGAGGTACCACTGTGGCTTGGCCAAGAGTTGAAAGATCGTAAGAGAAATCGGCCACTTTGCGTTGAATAAACTGGCCCATTTTGGTGTCCATAGGCTCGGCTGCCTCAGCATTGATGGACGGCTGAGTGGCTAAGTGGTTGGATTGATGGATACGTGGATGGAAAAAATGATTTCAATTTCCACTAAATCATTGAAAAGCCATAATGAAGTTGTCGAAAAAGGCTTTCTGCACTGTTTTACTCAATACTCACAGATGAATTATAGAAAATTCACTTTAGAAAATGCTCTCGCAATCTTTCGTCTTTTCGGATCCAAAAATGGCTTTTTATCTGTTCACTCTTGACATCTTTACAATTTTTTTTCTTTAAGCTGATCCCCTCAGCCTACTGGGCTTTTTGCTCTTTGATATAATATTTAGGCAATTTTCTGTTGACACTGAGAGACCTACAATTCTCTTCGATGTGGTAGCTAATTCCGGCACTGCTCAATTTATATCATTCGCAGTCTTAATTCGTGGTGTTCATACGTCGTGATTTCCTCAGGCCTAGAAGTCAAGTAGCTGTATTGAATCATTCTTGACTGACACTATCAAATCCGCTGACTCCTCTTGTAATGAGATTAAAGTTCATTCGTTGCAGGTCAAAGTCTGGTACTCTTTGCCGGACAGCAGACCGGCTAGCATAGTCAGTGCCTTTGTTTGGTGTATGCTTCTAGTTGTTTCTTGAGGATTCAGCTGTAGATTTTACTGAAAGACGAGGATTTGTTGCTATAATCATGTGTATTGGCCTCATTTTTGTCTGTTTTTACATTCAAATGGTTTCTCTTGGTCCGTTTCTCTTGCACGTCCAAGATGCGACTTTCTCTATTAACTGCCGGATGACACTTTTGGTCCAATCTTTCATCTTACAAATTCTATTACTGCACAAGAGGATCTTATGGATCTAAGTACGTGTGCTCGGGTCCTGCGACAATTGAGGCTTTATCATAGATAACCATAAGAGATGGTTTTTAAATAGTGTAATTGTGGAAAAATGCTAAAGCTGGACAGTATCATATCCATTTGATCGGTTTTGTTGATAAAATTTTCTTTAATGCCCAATTATTGACGTTCATCCTCAAGGGAAGCCATCTTGAGCTCGGATTTAGTGCTGGTAAGTGAAGAGTAGCTGGCCACTCGAGGGGACCGTTATGACTAAGTTCATCCTCCGACTTCACATGATGGTAAACTCCCTTAAGAATGAGTCCCAAAAATGTATTGGTATAAACTTTTCGTTGTAGTTTATATTCCCGCTTCTATATTCTAATCAGCGATAGTCATTAAATTTGGCCAGAAGCTGCATTAGAATATTTTTAAGCAGATTTTTCACTTGCCCAACAGACAGATACGTGCCGCATCTGAATTTGTGG